TGAGAAATAAGTTGAGTCCCCATCTGCATGAGGACTGTCAGTGAAATGTTTTTTTCTTCTGTAATGAGCAAAAGATATTAAACAACGTTGTTATGTGTCATTCCACATGTGTTTATTGATGCAAAGTTAATTGCAAAGTGCTCAATTTCTTATTTGCGAAATAGGGTGCTTTTACTTGCTTGGGCCTCAAACTGTTTTGGTATTTAGATAAAAGACGTAGGTTTAGAGGAGAACTGCTAACCCACTCACACACATCTGATATTGATTGTAAAGAGCCCGAATTAGATGATGTATTTTTATAAGACAAGAATGTTGGAAACTACTGGTTGAATTAGTACTAGTGGATTTTATAAGATAGCTGCTGTCAGATGAATGTAAAGAATACAGTAGTTCCCTGTGAAATGTGTAGTGGAGCAGAGTGCATGTTTTTATATGTAAAATATTCTGCCTAATAACTCGTCGCTCTAACAGCTGTCAGGTAAATGTCCTTGGGTGCAAGTCCAGGTTCTCAGTGTAGTGCAGTAAATGGTGCAGGCAGAGTCGAGATTTAAATATTAAAGTACAAATACCTCAAACTGTACTCTGGGCACAGGCCTTGAGCGAATGTACTAAGTTACTTTCCACCACTGACTGTAACTGTAACCATCACTTCTGAGTTACAAATACTACAACTATCATTACTATTACTATCATTACTTTTACTATTAATACTATTTCTATTACTTCAATTACTGTTACTACTATTACTATTACTTGGTCCAAACTGAACCATCTGCTGACTAAGTAAATGTAGACGTGGAAAGTAACTAAGCCTCCAAGTACTGCATTAAGTACATTGTGGAGGTACTTGTACTCCACTACATTGGAAGTATTGGACGTTTTATTGCACTACATCTGACAGCATTATCCTACTATTACTCTGCAGGTTCACATTTTACAAACAATTACAAAAAATCAAAAAATAGATTACACGACAAACAACATGTGAAGTATTTAAATGATCTCCACTGGCCTGAATCACCTACAGCATTAAACTGGCAAATGTTTACATCTGCACAGTGACTACTTTTAATACTTATAAATACTTCTGTACTTTTTACTGCTGAACATTTATATATAGATAAAGATGTGGAAAGAGGTCTACAATAAGTACAATAGAAGATATCAACTACCACTGCCACTGCTACTACTTTTGGACCACCAATAAACACACAAACATTTCCATTTGACCCTCAATAGTACTTTATGTGTCAGTGAATAAAACAGTGATTGTGGTTGTAATGTATCCTTTTACTACAGGTGGTGGTATTGTTTACTGAATGACATTTAAACTGAGCTTCAGAAGTTTCCTTCTTCCTTCTTCTTTTGTTGGTGCAATTAACTATGTATTTATATGTCTGTGTGCTGGTGTGACTGGTTTCATTTCATCCCTGAGCTTTTTATTTCCTGTGATTTTCTTTTTAGAGTGAGATTATGTTTCTGTTTACTTGTTGTTTTTTATATTTGTAGTAATCTGCTAATATTCTGCATCAGATTGTAGAAACCTCACACATCCTGATATTAACAACAACTTGTACTTGTCATGTGATGTAACTTCTAAACAGACTGATATATTTCATACACATTGCTGTAACAGAAGCCTCTTTGTTGAATTTCTTCTGTCAAGAGTTCAGAGAGTTTTCCTGTCTCATCTGCATTCAGACAGCACACAGCCAGGGGCGGGAGCTAGAGGGGTGGGCATGGCTGGTAGCACTAGAGTACCTGTGAGTTTCCTGTAAGACACTCACCAATACACAAAATAAAAGATCTTGAGTCAAGCAATTAGTCCTTGGAAGGTTTTGTTGTTTTTGATCTTGCAGCAAGAGGAGAGCAGTTCTGTGATGAAAAAGAAAATGCTCAGAGTGGGGCAGTCCCACACTGGGTTTTATACATCTTTAGAAGCATTAGAAGCATTCCTCCAATTTTGTTATCACCTAACAGCGTCACAGTGAAATGTGTATTTGCCCAACAGGCCCTCCCTGAACTGTGAGCAGAAGGTCAGGCCTTTCAATAAGTCACCTGTTGCATTTATTACTTATTACTTTCGAGCAGAAACACATTTATTACTTTGTCTTTCTGGCCAGGACAAATGTTCCATACAGTACTTTTTATTCACTTTGCTAACTCTTAGTTGTGAATGGCAATTTGCAGTCAGAAACACAGGCGGATTGACTGAGATGTAGTTCACTTGAAGCTGCTTTATTTTATGGATGTTAACACAGTCAAATAATCAGATATACACTCAGGTCTGCCTACACATATATTTCAACAGCTATTAAAAAACCGTCACACCTGACATTTAGAACAAGAGCAGTTCCTCTGCAGTTAACTTTGGTTTCGCATGCGCCGCCTGGTATTACTAACTGCTGAATGTTAGACCCATAGAGATAGAGAGTGAATAACTGTGTATGTTACACTTCATTATAACAATTAACTTAATGAAGAGAAGATGAGCGAACACTAAACTTTCAAAAGTGAGGGCCGAGGTTGTCCCAAATGTGGAGTTCAGTGTGCGCGGCCATCTTCTCTTGATTGTAGCTCCACCAGCTGCCCAGTAATGTTGAGGTTTGATTGAACAACAGTGTGAAAGGCTGTCACACACACATATTTACTGTTCTATCACAGAAATGCTTTATTAGTACACATGAACAGTATTTCCCAAGGCCTGCTTTGTTATAGCTGGTCTTCTTGTGGTGCGTTCAGGTGTTGTAGTATGAAATTAGTCCACAACTTAATATATTATATATATATTTTGGCCTTTTAAAGTCTCTACGCTACCCTCTTTGTCACCCATGGATATTTTTATAGGACAGCCCCCGAGTATCATCCCCCTGACAAATGTGGAAATAAAAAAAAAACATTTAGTTCATTTAGTTTAAGTTTTTAGTTTAATTATAATATTTTTAAACAACATTTAAGTGTCAACACCAACATTACCAAACTCAATTTCATTGTTCTTTACAAGCCGAGAGACGCTTCATGTTGAACAAGTTGATCTGTGTAAACTCACCTGAGTCTCACCAGGTTCCACAACGCCACAGCTCCCAGCTCCTCCAACCCCAGCAGATAAAGACTGGTTTAGAACTCCTACCTACAACGTACAAACCTTTTGCACTATTTATATTTAATTTCCACTTTAGTAGTTTAGTAGTTTTAGTTTAGTTTTAGTTTTTTAGTTTTTTAGTCAAGTTTCACTTTCTGCTCATATTTTGACCCATGTCCTACTTAAACAACAAATAGTGTATATACTTTAATTTATAGTTTTTATATCTTCTAATATTAATAATATTAGCATATTTTTACAGTGATATTTTTTGTTTTCTGTTTTTGCGCTGCTTTACTCTATTGCTGCTGTGTCAACCTGAATTTCTCCTTAGGGGGATAAATAAAGGAATTATCTTATCTTCCTGGACATAGAGAGGGGAGGAGCTGCCATAACACCAGGTAAAGGTGAAAGTGTTCAGTTGGTTCAGTCTCCATTTTGAGTCAACAGAGCAGAAGGAGGGAAACTGAAGGCTGAGGCAGGGTGAGTGTTAATGCAACATTATTATTATTTTACTGTCAAAGTCTCTGAGTCAGTTTTCTTCCTGTGGACTGTAGAGGATAGAAATGTAAGAATGTGTAGTATCTGAAGGCTTATCTTAAAGCTTATAAAGTTAAAATACATTTTGGTATAAGTTGAAATGATATTTTGTTACCATATGTAGTGTTAGTAAGTCATGAGGTTCAACGTCCTAATTCTTACTAGGCAGTGTTTAGGTTAGGGCCTCTCAATGACCTCTGACCTCTGCCTTGAAAACCCCATCTCCCCCTTATTTCAGTACATCTGATAGCTAATCCAGATGTTTCTTTCCATTTTTGGAGTAAACAACAGGTCTATATAAACCTATGTTCGATGCAAAAATAGACAGAGTTGTTCATTTGGCTGGATGCTCTCCAAGCTCCGCGGTGCTTGTATTGATGCTGAACTTTTTGTAATAAACCTTTAAATACAATCAAGACGGTGTCAGCGGACTCTCTTCAACACATCTTCACATCATTGCTACTCAATATACAACAAATGAACTCAACAGTTTGATTCATCTGTGGATACAAAGTTGTGATTGACTGAATAATACAGATTAAAGCTACTGTAACCCAAGAAAACAAGTACAGGGTTAAAGAAAGTGACCAGGGGTGGAGTTCTATATTATACTGTATACTCTATATACTATACAGAGTACTGTTGTGTGTGTGTGTGTGTGTGTGTGTGTGTGTGTGTGTGTGTGTGTGTGTGTGTTACTTTCTTGTTCTCTCAACCTTGCATGTGACAAACAGACAAACCTGTTTTTCCTGATTCTTCTGTTTTGAGTCAGTGTTAATATTTATCTCTCAGACTGACTGAAGTCCAGAAGATGAGTGCTTGTGTGGAGGAAGAGGAGGACAGAGCAGAGTCTCCAGTGTCCAGCTGTCTGTCTATGAAGAGTGATCGGTCCAAAGATGATAATCCATTCTTCAGTAATGAACCTGGACCCTCAGACACAAAGTAAGAAACTGTTTTTACTGTAAACTGACCTGATGGAAGATGATTCATTGAGCATGAAAACAAAATAGATTTATTTTCATGATGCAGAACTATTAGTGCAGACACTGTTTCAAACTAAAATGTATTTTATTTTATTTCTTTAGCAAAACACTTCAGAACCTCAGTTTCAGAGTTCATATTTCATATATAATATAATAATATTCATATATTTTGCTCTAATGTTGAAGTCGCTGTTAATATTTGTAACTATTATCTAAAATAATCTGTTTCTAATGTGTAATTAAATATATTGTTTCTAAAGATGAAGAAACAAACATCCATTTATTTATGTAAAAGTTATCTGCAGATTTAAAAACAGGGACAGAAAATGTCAAATGTAGATTTGGAGACTTCTTTTTTAAGAATATTTGAACTGGATATATTCCTTCATTTGATAGTTGACAATATAGAGTGACAGGAAACATCAAAGGAAGGAAAAACAAACAAATAAACAGTTTGTAGTTGAACCTGTGACACCACTGTTACGTGCTATGTGTCTTACAGTAAACTGCTGGTCTATCATAATTATTTAGAGCACTTCTAACCTCAGTTTAAACTAACACAAGCTAATCTGCCCAAAGTGACTGTAGAACAGTGAAGGACATAATCAGCTCTCTTTAATGGAAGGCTTTTATTGTGAAGCAGCTGCAGGAAGTGTTGAGTTTGTATTAATAACAAACTACAGGCAGATCAATAAATGTTTAATAAGACAGACAGATAGGAAAAGCACTCAGTGTTTATGAAAGCAGGAGAGTTGAAATAAAAGGAATCATTTTCATTACAGACTGAATGCTGAATTCAAACAGAAAAGTTAACAACACTTTTAATGTTCTCTGTGACCATCTGAGCTTCCAGACAGTGTCGGACAAATCTCAGTATTTTTCATCAACAATCAACAAATCATTTTAGTAATAAAGAAATGTCTTCACAGAGAGAGGAAGAGGAGTCATGTTTCTGTGGAGGAGCAGCTGTCCTGCTGTGTTTTGTGTCAGGACGTCCTGAAGGATCCAGTCTCTACCAGCTGTGGACACTGGTTCTGCAGACAGTGCATCACCTCATACTGGGACCAGTCTGCTTCATCAGGAGACTCCTCCTGTCCCCAGTGTGGAGAAAGATCCAGAACAAGAGCTGGACTGCAGACAGCCAGTCAGACCAGCACTGTACAAAAGTAAGACTGTATCTTCAAAATCTAATCTGCTACATTTAGTTTATTAAGAGACTTACAATAAGTTCAACTCCAAATATTGCATGAATCATGTAACTTCATCAACTTCATCAAATAAGCTGAACATCTAAAAGTGCTACATTTAGTTTTTAGAGTTTTCAGGCTGAATGTAGGATGAACCTATACCATTGGCAGCATGGTGGCCAAGTACCAGTGACTTGAATTTCTTTTTTTTTAAAAACAGGTCTTCATGACATGAACATTTTTCTGTATTATTTGATCGTGGATCAATTTTAAATATTACGGGAGGATGAAACAGCTACAGATGAAAGATGTTCAGATGAAGACCTGCTGAGGCTCAGCCTGTCAATTAAACACGTACACTTACACACAGTCAGAGGCTGACAGAAAAACTCTCCAAAAGTGGACATTAGAAGCTTTACATTTCTATATATTCTTATATTAATTGTTGTATCTGTAATGAAAATGATCAACAGTTTCATTGTTGGACACAAATTGAACGACAACACAGACTTAGAAACACAAAGTATACGTAAATCAGACACAAAAACAAACCCACAATGAAAGAGATAAATTCAGGTACCTCAGAACAGACTGTTAGATTTTTAGTTTTGTCTTGTTTTATCTTTTTTAGTGAGTGGTGGTCTGCAGGAGGTTTTAGATAAACATAAGATCAGTCTAAAGACGAGATGTAAACATGTGACTGAAGGAACTGATGAAACAGGAAGTGGAACCCTCCTCAACAGGATCTACACTGAGCTCTACATCACAGAGGGACAGAGTGAAGAGGTTAATAAACATGAGGTGAGGCAGCTTGAGACAGCTTCCAAGATGGAGACCCTCCATGAAACTCCAATCAAGTGCTACGAGATTTTTAAAGCCTTACCTGACCAACAGAGACACATCAGAGTGGTTCTGACGAACGGCGTCGCTGGCGTTGGAAAAACCTTCTCAGTGCAGAAGTTCACTCTGGACTGGGCAGAGGGCTTGGAGAACCAAGATGTCAGTCTGGTGGTTCTGCTTTCGTTCAGGGAGCTGAACCTGATCAAAGATGAGCAGTACAGTCTTCTCACACTGCTCCATGTTTTCCATCCAACATTACAGAAGGTCACAGCAGAGCAGCTCGCTGTCTGTAAACTTTTGTTCATCTTTGACGGCCTGGATGAAAGCAGACTTTCACTGGATTTCCACAACAATGAGGTTGTGTCTGACGTCACACAGAAGTCTTCAGTCAACGTGCTGTTGACAAACCTCATCAAGGGAATCTGCTTCCCTCGGCTCTCATCTGGATAACTTCCAGACCTGCAGCAGCCAATCAGATCCCTCCTAAATGTGTTGACAGAGTAACAGAGGTACGTGGCTTCACTGACGCCCAGAAGGAGGAGTACTTCAGGAGGAGAGTCAGTGATGAAGATCTGTCCAGCAGAATCATCTCACACATCAAGACCTCCAGGAGTCTCCACATCATGTGTCTAATCCCAGTCTTCTGCTGGATCTCTGCTACAGTTCTGGACCACATGTTGACTACAGACCAGAGAGGAGAGCTGCCCAAGACCCTGACTGACATGTACTCACACTTCCTGCTGGTTCAGACAAAGAGGAAGAAGCAGAAGTATGATGTGGGACATGAGAAGAAGTCCACAGGAGCTGATGGAGGCTGACAGGGAAGTTCTTCTGAAGCTGGGGAGGCTGGCGTTTGAACAGCTGGAGAAAGGGAAACATCATTTTCTACCAAGAAGACCTGGAGCAGTGTGGTCTTGATGTCACAGAGGCCTCGGTGTACTCAGGAGTTTGTACAGAGATCTTCAAAAGAGAGAGTGTGATCTTCCAGAAAACAGTCTACTGCTTTGTTCATCTGAGCATTCAGGAGTTTCTGGCTGCAGTCTACATGTTCCACTGTTACACCAACAAGAACACCAAAGTACTGAAGGACTTCCTGGGTCAAAAACATGTTAATTCAACCCTGGATGTGTTTCTGATGAGAACCATGGAGAAATCCCTCAAAAGTAAAAATGGCCACCTGGACCTGTTTGTTCGCTTCCTTCATGGCCTCTCTCTGAGTCAAACCAGAGACTCTTAGGAGGCCTGCTGGGTCAGACAGACAACAGTCCAAAAGTTATCCAGAGAGCCATCAACAACCTGAAGAAGATGAACAGTGATGATATCTCTCCTGACAGAAGCATCAACATCTTCCACTGTCTGATGGAGATGAACGACCACTCAGTCCATCAGGAGATCCAAGAGTTCCTGAAGTCAGAGAACAGATCAGAGAAAAACTTTCTGTGATCCACTGCTCAGCTCTGGCCTACATGCTGCAGATGTCAGAGGAGGTTCTAGATGAGTTGGAACTGAAGAAGTACAACACATCAGTAAAGGGACGACAGAGACTGATTCCAGCTGTGAGGAACTGCAGAAAGGCTGAGTAAGTCCAGATGTGATTACATTATAAATCAATGTAAAGTTGAAGCCATCAGTATTAGAGTAAAGATTATATTGTTTAGTTCTTAATAAAGAACGTATTTTCACATGTTTTCTTTCTAACTATTTTTATTCATAAACCAGTTTACAGACGAGTCCATTCAAATACCACCAGAGAGAGAGAGAGAGGGAAAAGGAGAGAGCTTCTTTACTAATGAAGGTTCATTTGGTGTAGCAGAGCCTTTCCAGTGAGCCATGATGCACAGTAGCAGCACCCTGACTGTGTTTGACCTGAATGTAACAGAACCTTAATTAGTGTCATTGGTAACACCTGTGTTTACCCTCCTGTTTCATATCAAAATGGCTCCTGTGAAAAAGTTTATTATACTATTAATGCAATAGGAGTCATTACATTAATTTAATGGGAGATGAAAAGCAGCTAGAGCAACATAATAAGATGCATCTGGGGCTGCATTAGTGAGATTTTCACAGTATAATAACCATCTCAGAATCACAGTTTAAAGGTATACAGTATTACACAGTTATTAATTATCAGTTACAGTAATAAAAACAGAAGGATGAGTTATTTTTGTTTGTTAATTTAATAAAAAAATTTACTATATATTTTTAATAACACAAATACAACAGAATTAAATACCGTTGAGAAGCAAATGTACATAGTATGATTTCATACCACAGTATAACATGGTATTGATATACAGCTGCAACCCTAGATGGATTAAAGATGCACAAAATACACACAAGAAGCACATGACTGAGATAAATACATATGAGTGCAGTTACAACCTATAGTGATTATACAGCTCATTGAACATCCTGTTAAAATAAAGTTTAACAATCACAAATCACAGCACTTGTGGACAGGAGGAGCTCAAGTTTCAAACCACAGCCCTTGTGATCAATGACTGACCAGCTGAGCTACAGTCGCTCATGTTAATGTGCTTTGCCCAAAGTATATCTTTATAATAAAATGTCAGATTTTATTATACTTAAATTCATATTCTGTCATCACAGGCTTTGCTCATGTGGACTCTCAGAGACTCACTGTGAAGTTGTGGCCTCAGCTCTGAAGTCCAACCCCTCCCATCTGAGAGATCTGGACCTGAGTTTCAACAAGCTGCAGGATTCAGGAGTGAAGCTGTTGTGTGCTGGACTGGAGAGTAAAAACTGTAGACTGGAGACTCTGAGGTCAGTTCATGTATTTTGCTTTTGTACAGTGTATATCTACAGTTTGACTCCTAATTTACTCTGTACTGGATTCATGTTGGTAAGAAAACTGGAGGATTAATTCTACAATATGTTGCAAAATTTAATCAGCATTCATAGTCTTTGAAGCAACGTAACATATTTGTGATCGGCCCGGTGCAAATATTGTTCCTGCCCCCCCCATCCCCTGCCCCAAAAAGTATAAACATATACACATATAGACACACACCAACTCCACACTATTATAAACCTGCAGCCTGTGATCAGAACCACAGACAGCAGACCAAGTGTCAAATCTATCAACGCAAATCTAACAGCTCAAACCACCACAGCCGGCTGTCTCCGACTGTCAAACAACTGAAATAGTTTTAGCCAGCCTACAGTAACATTTCAACACAAAGTAGTTTATTATCAATAACCACAGAACAAATGTCACAGCAACTCATTATAGGCCTACAATGAATTAATGGATGACGCCATCTGATCACACAATTACTTAATAAACAATTAATTAATCATCATTTATCATCAATGGCACAGTAGCCAAATGTTTTCACAGACACAGATTACAGTCAGTGTGCATTTTCTAACATTTGAGAGGTAATTTAAATCCCTGATCCCACTCCATAACAAACAGACACAGAAAAGATCTGTGGCTTCAGGCAATTGGCAAACAAGATACAAATGTGTTAGCTGTTAAAAAGGGTGTAACATTTTCTATTTACTGGAATTGTTATTTTTTTTCTTATAGTCTTATTTATTTGATATTGGCCAAATCAAAACATCACATCTTAGTATTTTTTAAACAATGACATGTGATTTTTATGAATTAGAAGAAACAAAATTAAAGTAACAAAATGTCATATTTGATCGTTATTACAGACCTGACTGAAATCAGCAGCATGTTATTGATCAGTGTTGACATGAATAGGTGTATGAAGGTTGTGTTGACATTTGGATGATGTCTGTAGAAGGATGACATTATGATGATCCACAGTACGTCAGGCTGAAGGACACCACCAGGTAGACATACCTGGACACTCTTCTTCTTTTTGTGCAATAACTTATTCCACCACTTAAGTGCAATAATTTAATTTAACTGCTAATTTCTGCTAATGTAATTTATCCGCTGTACAATAACACAATGCCATATACAGTCCTATATATATTTATCTATATTTATCCTCTATACAGTTCTCTACATTTATTTTAATTTTCTTTTATTTTTTACTTGAATTTTATTTTATTTTTATTCTTATCTCTACTTTCTATATTTAGCTTAGAGTTTATTGTTTATCTTATATTGTATTTTCTTGTGTGTAAGTGTTTGTAAGCTGCTGGAAATTCAATTTCCTTGAGGGAGTCATCCCAAAGGGATCAATAAAGTGAAGTCTAAGTCTAAGTCTAAGTCTCTAATAACACAATGATAAAGTCACTCTACTAATTTTAGAGAAAAACTCATTGATTGGGACACATCTAAAAATTTGTTTTGATCTTCATTTATTCTTTATTTAGATTGAGTCGTTGCAGTTTGTCAGAGATCAGCTGTGATTATCTGGTCTCAGCTCTGAAGTCCAACCCCTCCCATCTGAGAGAGCTGAGGCTGAGTCACAACAATCTGCAGGATTCAGGAGTGAAGCTGCTGTGTGGTTTTCTGGAGAGTCCACACTGTAGACTGGAGACTCTGAGGTCAGACACCATTTTTTCCTTCTGTGCTGAGATTAATATGATGTGAAAGTTGTGGTGACAGTAAAGTGCAGACATAAGGCTGATATTATACTGATCCACACTGAGTATCTTAATGCTAAAGTCTGTTTTCTTCTTCAAGCATCAATTCTTTCCAAACATGAGATTTTGTACTCTTCCATTGAAATACACAACTATCTTGCCATTCTTTGTCTGTTATTGTCAGGTCTCCTTCCTTCTCCCATCTATCCTTTATATATTTTGTTGAATGAGCTTTTAGATTGTGGAGGCTCTTATACAGTTGAGAGATTACCCCTCTTTTAATATCTGACTTATATGCATTTATGAGAAGTTGCATAAAGGTTTTACTGGCTTCTCTGGAATTTTTCTTTTTGATTATAGTAATTTATTAATCGGAGATATTTTTAGAAATCCTGTTTTTCCAATGAAAAATGATCTCTTAATGTTTGAAAACACATAGTTTCATCTTTTTCATCTTTCTGCACTCATTCATGTTCCATTAATGCATGTTACTAACTTCACTTCTTCCCCGGAGTTCTTGTGCTTCTCGTCTTGCAGGTTCTTATCGATCCTGGTGGAGCCTCCTGCCATGGTCCTGCTAGATTGCCATTGCCAATACTGTTGTTGCTGTGCACCTGTCTGTCTGTCTGTCTCTCGCTCTCTCTCTCTCTCTCTGTCTCTCTCTCTCTCTGTCTCTCACCCCAACTGGTCGAGACAGACGACCACCCACCTAGGAGCTGAAGGATCTGTCCTAGGTTTCTGCCTTTTAACAGGCAGTTTTTCCTTGCCCTTGTCTCCAAGGTCTTGCTCATGGTGGTACTGTTGGGTCTCTAAATAATGTTACAAAGAGTTTGGTCTAGACCTGCTCTATTTGAAAAGTGTCCTGAGATAACTTCTGTTATGAATTGGTGCTATACAAATAAAATTGAATTGAATTGAAATCTTTCTGTATAATGCTGCATAGAGATATTATACCTTTCTTTATCCAAACATTGAATCTATCATTGAGTTTATTTAGTATGAGATCTGAATCATATGCACACCAACTCAGGATTTTAATATCTTCTTTCAATGTATGTTCTTTTATCACTGCTCTCCGAACCCCGAGAGCTGATGCTCTCATCTGTGCTGAGATATAATAATGTTTCTGTGATGGTAAACCCCAGCCTCCTCTTTCTTTCAGTAGCTGTAATGTTTTATATCGTACTCGAGGTCTTTTTCCTGCCATATAAATCTCAATATCATTAAACACTGAATGATTTCAAGCAGGAACATTGTCTTCTAAACTTAAATAATTTATTCTTTATTCAGATTGAGTCGTTGCAGTTTGTCAAAGATCAGCTGTGATTATCTGGTCTCAGCTCTGAAGTCCAACCCCTCCCATCTGAGAGATCTGAGGCTGAATCACAACGAACTGCTGGATTCAGGAGTGAAGCTGCTGTGTGGTTTTCTGGAGAGTCCACACTGTAGACTGGAGACTGTGAGGTCAGACACCATATTTTCCTTCTGTGCTGAGATTAATATGATGTGAAAGTTGTGGTGACAGTAAAGTGCAGACATAAGGCTGATATTATACTGATCCACACTGAGTATCTTAATGCTAAAGTCTGTTTTCTTCTTCAAGCATCAATTCTTTCCAAGCATGAGATTTTGTACTCTTCCATTGAAATACACAAATATCTTCCCATTCTTTGTCTGTTATTGTCAGGTCTCCTTCCTTCTCCCATCTATCTTTTATATATTTTGTTGAATGACCTTTTAGATTGTGGAGACTCCTTTACATTTGAGAGATGACCCCTCTTTTAATATCTGAATTATATACATTCATGAGAAGTTGCATAAAGGGTTTACTGGCTTCTCTGGTATTTTTCTTTTTATTATTATTATTTTTTAATTGGAGATACCTTTAGAAAACACATAATTTCATCTTTCTGTATAATGCTGTATAGAGATATTATACCTTTCTTTATCCAAACATTGAATCTATCATTGAGTTTATTTAGTGTGAGGTCTGAATCATATGCACACCAACTCCGGATTTTTAATATCTTCTTTCAATTTATGTTTTTTTATCACTGCTCTCCGAACCCCGAGAGCTGATGCCATTGCCTTCAATTACATCATTTATTGATTATTGAAAAACTGAATGATTTCAAGCAGGAACATTGTCTTCTAAACTTACATCTTTTATTCTTTATTCAGATTGAGTCATTGCAGTCTGTCAGAAATCAGCTGTGATTATCTGGTCTCAGCTCTGAAGTCCAACCCTCCCATCTGAGAGAGCTGAGGCTGAGTAACAACAACAATCTGCAGGATTCAGGAGTGAAGCTGCTGTGTGGTTTTCTGGAGAGTCCACACTGTAGACTGGAGACTCTGAGGTCAGACACCATTTATTCCTTCTGTGCTGAGATTAATATGATGTGAAAGTTGTGCTGACAGTAAAGTGCAGACATAAGGCTGATATTATACTGATCCACACTGAGTATCTTAATGCTAAAGTCTGTTTTCTTCTTCAGTGGTTTAGTCCATTGACTGTGGCAGAGCAAGGTTGAGCTCCACATTTAAAACCTGAATATAACAAGAAAAATCCATGATCTAAAATCTTTACTTATATTCGTTTCAATATAATTAATACTAAAAAATACACAAATACATTAAATAAACAAATAATCTCTGCTCCATCTACATATCAGACAATAACAAATATATTCAGTATTTTCTTTTTCCAACATTTTTATGAAGCTATTTGATGTTTATACTGACTGAATAGTTTAAACTTTTTTTATGACTCCACTATTCCTAAAATAATTATTGTAGATGTCTTTTGTTCACATTTTCTAAACTTGTACATTTTAAACCTTCTTCAGCTCAGATTATTGAAAAAACTGAATGATTTCAAGCAGGAACATTGTCTTCTAAACTTACATCTTTTATTCTTTATTCAGATTGTTCGGCTGCAGTTTGTCAGAGATCAGCTGTGATTATCTGGTCTCAGCTCTGAAGTCCAACCCCTCCCATCTGAGAGAGCTGGATCTGAGAGACAACAAGCTGCAGGATTCAGGGAGTGAAGCTGCTGTCTGATCTTGTGGAGAGTCCACACTGTAGACTGGAGACTCTGAGGTCAGTACAGGGTTGGAGTCAGTCCATGCTGGTTTCAGCAGAATTGTACTAAACACAGTTAGTATCAAAGCAAAGATCCAGTATTTGCTGCTTTCCTCAGTGAAGCTGTGAGAGGAGGATGGTGACAGACTTCAGGGTTGGACAGAAAGACAGAGAGAGAGAACAGTCAGCCAATCAGCGAGCCTGAAGCTTGTTGTGATCATGTGTTTGAGTTGATGCGAAGACGACTGTTGTTGTTGTGTTCGTGTCTACAGGAAATAAAGCTGGATTCCAGCTGACAGCATTACAAGATGTACAGAGACAGTGGTCCTCATTCATCAAACTGTCGTACCATCAAATCTGATCTCAGTGTTTGTTCTCTCATTTCAACACTAAACAACTGATCAGTTCATCTTTGTCACAGCTCTACAATCAGTCTGACTGAAGCCTGCAAACCACTGGATCTTATTTCAGAGAACCATCATTATATTTAGTGACCATGTGGTCTTTGTACAGACCAGAACCTCTACTGAAGTCCAGTAATCACAGCTATTGTTCAGTCTTTATATGAACATGTAGGACCCTTTAACATCAGATATATATCTGTCTATTTGTCTTTTGTTTAGTCCTAATATGTATATTATTTTATTATTATTTATATTATTATTATGTATTATTTATTTTATATTATTGTCGGGCTCTATGACGTAGGGTGTTAGAATGGTATAACTGTAATAGTTTAATCAATTAATGGTTATCAAAATTAGAATTATCAAAATATGATAGAAAATTAAAGCTGCAAGCAGCGTTGGACGGGATCTTGCACCGGCGCGCGTCGGGCGTGCTGCGGCAGAGTCACAAATGCCGTCGGGGTGAACTGCGGCTACGTCACGTGCCGACGTAACAAGCGCGGACCACAACATGAAAATTTCACGTAAATCGGCTCAAAATCGCCACGCAGCACTTACTTCCTGTTGCCATTAGGTGGCGCTATCACTATGTGTTCAGAGCGGGACTCTTATCAGACATGTGAAGTTTCGTTGCAGTCGGATCATGTACGCAGAAGTTATTACGAATCCCTCTTTTATGGCGAAGGATCGAAATTGGATGCCACGGGACACCACGCCACGGGCAGGAAGTTTGACGAAAAAAACTGAAGAGCACAACTTTTAGTGGTGAATGTGTTTAGATGGTTGTGTCCAAATCTGAAGTCGCTCCAATAAATGCCCCTAGGAGGAGTTAGTTCAAATACAACGTGTGCAAATCGAGACAAAATCCAACATGGCTGACTTCCTGTTGGGTTTGAGGTATGGGTCCAAGAGACTTTTTGCTTCTTTTATCATCATACACATGCGTGTCATACATGTCATTCATACGGGCTGACGTTTAGGGGGCGTGGCTAAGCCATTTGCGACGCCCATCCGCGGGACCAAGACAATCCCTCGCCGTTCCGGATCATCGAATGCTGTGCAAAGTTTCATGAGTTTTCAGACATGTTTAGTCCGCCCTAAATTGTCAATTTTTGTGATTTTTGCCGCGTCGCCATGGCAACATGGTTTCGTGCAAATTCTTAAGATTAATAATATGTGATCCTCATCCTCCTAAGGAACTTCTCACATAATTTCAGCTGGATCTGGTCAATATGCTCGAAGATATAAATAAAAGTACAACAAATACATTTCCTTTCACCACTAGGGGCGCTCTCACTATTACTGAATATTATCACATAGAAGTGTTCAAGGCGGGACTCTTATCAGGCAAGTGAAGTTTGGAGCCGATTGGACAATGTACACTCAAGTTATAGCAACTTTGTGTGTTCTGGCGGTACATCAAAATTTGACGCCATGCCAGCGACACACCCTTTAATAAGAACTCACCACAATCAAAAAATATAATTAATAACATGTTTTGTATTTCCTGACTACATTTCAGCTTAATCTGATTATTTTACTAGGAGTAGAACATGGAAGTATAAAATAATGACATTTTCTTTTACCACTAGATGGCGCTCTCACTATTACTGAATATTATCACATTGACTTGTTCAGGGCGGGACTCTTATCAGACATGTGAAGTTTCGTTGCAGTCGGATCATGTACGCAGAAGTTATTACGAATCCCTCTTTTTATGGCAAAGGATCGAAATTGAACGCCACGGACGCCACGCCACATCCACAAAGTTTAACGGAATAACGTAAATAGCACAACTTTTAATAGTGAATGTGTTTAGATGGCTGGGGCCCAATCTGAAGTCGATCTGATAAATTCCCTAGGAGGAGTCCGTCTAAGCCAACGTGTGCAAATCGCCAAAAATGGCCACAAAATCCAAAATGGCGGACTTCCCTGTTGGGTTTGAGGTATGGGTCCTGAGGCTTTTCTGCTTCTTTTTATCACGATACACATGCGTACCTCAATTCTCGTACTGTCGGCCTTACGTGTCTTGGGGGCTGATTCTGGGGTGGCTTAGCCTGTTTGGTGGCGCCCGTGCACGGGGACAATGTCATATTGGTATTTTCGCTGCATGTTTGAATTTTGTGCAAATTTTCATGACATTTTGAGAATGCTGCGGGGGGGTCAAATATGCGTTAGAAGGGGCAGAAGTATAATAATTCCTAGATGAACAATAGGGTCTTGCACTTGTCAGTGCTCGATCCCTAATTACTTTAATTAATATTAAAGTTCTTCGGGCACCACCCTTAAATAAGGGAACGATAACCACCCATTGATCAGTCTCATAAAAATTACTCTAAACTATTTATTCAGAAATCAGAATTACAACCAAAATCATTAATAATAGCTAGAGTGGGGGCTTTGGAGTTCTACGTAGAAGAGGTTGGTATCACTCACTCTTTAAATTAAATAGGCCAGCATATGTAAACACAAACATTTATAAACCAGATATAATAAAAGCAAACAGAGGAAAATACACAATATACAGTCTAACTTAAAATAACTAAAGGAGTGTGTGTGAGGTAGAGAGCATGAGAGGCAGGAGGTTTTGACACATCAGCAACATTAACAATCATTAAACAGTCCTGTGTGAGCAGAGGATGGTAGATGAAAAAGAGAGAGAGAAGATCATCTCTCTGGCTTAAATAGCCATGATAACAGGTCTGGTGTCTGAAGATCTCTGACCAATGAGGGGCCGGTGTTTGGCCGTTTAATTGCGACACACCCTGGCTTCAGCTCAGTGTGTTCACCCAATACGTTAACATGAGAGCTGAAAGGAAGCAGGCTACGCCACGCAGCCGCTCACCTTCTGGTCTGAACTGGACTGAAGTCCCTGCTGGTCTTTATACTGGATGTGCTGCTGATGGAGGGAGTCTCTGTAAAACACTGATTTATGACTTCTGTTGTCTGTCTTTCTCCTCAGATTGACACAGATTCTGAGTCAGAGTGTGAGTGGTGAGGGAAGGGAGGTTGTGTTGGAGGATCAGCTGTGTCCTGATGATCCAGAGAGGCTGAAGCAGCAGCATCAGCTCTGGGACTGGGCCATGTTACTGGGAGGTAGAGTGGAGAGGAGAGCTTCATCCAGCAGTACCGACAGAGGAATCACAACCAGTGGAGATGACTCTCAGTGCTGCAGTCTGAACTGCTCTGAGATCAGCTCCACTGTCAGACACAATGTCAACATAACTGTAGATTGAAACTTACTTCAATTGATTTATTTCTTTGCACCTTGTGGAACGATGGAGAGTTGCAGTTAATTTCCACAATATATTTTGGAATCACAATATTAGTGCAATATTATATATCTGCTATCTTTTAAATTAATATATATGTATCCCCACATTTTGATATTTGATCCATTGTTATTATGAAAATATTGAAACAGAGTTACTTAAAGTTACTGAAATATCTGGATTTTGGTGAGAAGTCAGTGAACATTGGTTACACATTGAACACCAGAACATTTTAATACCTTGTTATATTATTCTATTGACATAAAATTAATCAGCAAAATATAAAATAAGCTCTAATCTGGAAGGGTTATTGGTAATATTTAAGATTATGTGCATGTATATATTTGTTCTGTTTTCTCATATTGCATCAAAAACACAAATCTGTTTATTGGAAATCACATCTTACTTCTGATTGATATAAATCTCCACAATCCAGCTACTATAAATATAAATTATCTCCATGTTGGTGTAAATGATGAACATTTGTATTACAGTTTTATTTCTGACTGAAGAAGATTCAAGTGTTCATTGCTTATTGATCTCCTGATTTTCAAATAAATAAATCAATAACTATCATAAAAATATCAGCTTTTTCATTTTATAACAGATGAATATTTGCTTGTGAGGAACAGAAATAAGATAAAACCTGAACAAAGTGTGGATTCAATCAAAGCTTTACTGTAGTTTCCTCAGTTTGCAGTCGGCTGTTTACGTCTATTAGGACTCTGAGCATAAAAACAAAGGTGGAAAGCCATCTGACTCTCTGACTCCCACACTGAGAAAGATCATGTTTTATTCACACAATTAAAGTGAATCAGTTTCAACAAGTGCTCGTCCAGTCTGTTGTAATGAAGAATTCAACTTTAAACAAGACACTATGTGCATCAAATTCTGTTTTCAATTCAGTCTCAATACTTCAAAATAAGACTTCAAACGAGAATTTAAACTTTGAGAAATTTCATTTGCAGAAATCCCTTATTTTGAAAAATCAAGAAGTTTGCAGAAGCAGAATTTACTGGTGCAAGTTATAGGAAGATATTAAAGGATCAGGTGAATAAAAAGTATTTAATGCTGTCAGATATTTACAGCAAGTTTAAAGTGTTTATATAAACTCAGCAGTGACAGAATTTCACAGTCAGCTTCTAAAGTGACTGCATCACTTCACTGTGTTGCAGCGCCCTCTACAGGGAAGAAACTGAACATTAAAGATCAACTTTTTAAAAGTTCTTACCATCAGCACAAAAAGTTAGTGTTTTTCAGTGATTCCATATAAAATGTTTA